AATATAATGGAGCAAAAGGAGTATTAAAAAAGTGAATTTTTATTGATTAACGTGTAGATTTTGAATAAAAAATAATATTATAATAATATATTATGATTATAAATTTACAATGTTAAGATACATTCTTATAAACATAATACTCATATTTTATAATTTTATAAAAAAAAGTTTAAAAAAAAAAACCCGTAATAGTATAAGGTCAAAGGTTAACAGTAGGATGTTATAACAAAATAATTCCAAATTTGAGTGGATTTTAAAATTACTTCAAATCAATACTTTCCAATTCTAAGTTAGTCGTTTTTCCTTGTACCATCCCTAGATGCCACTTTATCAATGGTGTTTTCCTTCCAAATTTACTTGGATGATGACAGTAATTAAGAAGTTTGGATCATAGACGTGGCGCAAAAACTATGGTATTAAGCCAACATGATACCGAGCGCCGGCTATGGCGTGAGAATATGTTAATATACTCCATGAAAAAAAAAAAAGAAAAGCCATTTATGTAAAAGCCCCCAATTGAATTTATCAATTAATTATTATATTGAATAAATAAATAAACAAATCTTTTTTTTTGGTAAATAGAGAATTAAGATTGAATATTAACTTCATGATTAAAAATATAAATAATTTTATTATTAAATAATACAATTGATGATAATAAATTTATTAAAATTAAATAAAAAAATATTAAACTGAACATGTTTGAACATGCTTTTGACCTTCTTACGTTTAAACGGAATTTCATGGAAATGGAAAGGAAGAAGAGTTTGCCTTTTACCAAAAATGCTCCTGCCTTCCATGGTTTGGTTAGCATGAATGGTGGTAGGAATGGGATGAACGATGGCTCCATATCTCTCTGCGTCCCCAGCGTCCGATGAGGATTGCTGAGTGCAATCGCGTTTTTTTGAACCCTCCAACACTCCTTCGTATAAAATAGATACACGTAAATTTTGTTAGTGGAGAATTTAGAATTGTAATTTATAAATTGACATGTGGCCATTTCACATTAAAGAGTGTTAAAGGGTGCAGGGAAAATGTAACTGTGCATAGCAGCCCTCGCCTACGATTGTCCTTCCTCCTAAGTTGACCGATGACTCTACACCTCTCCTAGTCGTCGTCCCTACGAGGTTGACCATCGCGTGGATTTATGTGGATTGGTTATTATCGAAAAAAATACAAATAAAAATGTTAATTATATTTTTA